CTTGCAGAACACACAGGTAAATTTTTATCTTTTAATTTTTTTTGACAATTTTGTGAGTTGACAAAATATTAGGTTAATTTAATTACATTCTTTTCAGTTCAATAATATTTTGAATACATACCATAAATTAATGGTATGAGTATAAAATAATCATATGATCAATGAAAAATTCTGTAAATTCATAATGAATATATTTAAAACATAAAAAGAATTAATTATGCTAATTTGTGCATAAATAATGAAAATTCAAAAAATCATCAGTTAGCAACTATTGGTCAGTCAGTATTGTTTTATGAGTTAAATAATCAGGGTATTATCACAAATTTAACAACAACAAAAATTCTATGCTTATTCGACTTTAAAAAAATAATAAAAGCAAGTCTTGTTTAGTTAGTTAGTTAATTTAAGTTACACAAAGCCACAGCCTTGTTAAACTCATCATCAGCTGAGTATACGCATCTATAACCAACTTGTATTTCGGCCACTTTTGTGTGGCATTTACGGTAAATGATGAGTTGAAGCAACTATGATGACTGAAAACTGTCTAGTAGTTGTTTAAATTTATCAAGTGATGTTGCCTCGATGACATTATCTGGCAAAGCATTCCAGTTATTGACTACATGTTGTTAAAAAACTCATGTCTGATTTTGCAATTCCTGACAATCTCGCGATGAAATCTGATTCGATGTTGAGCTCTGGGTGCTATGCTGCCAGGCATTACGTGCCAATCAATTAGGTTTAAATTGTTGAAAAGCTTATATTTTTGAATAAGATTGCCTCTTTTTTGTCTGTCTTCAAGAGTAGTTAATTTCATGATTTTACATCGAGTTTTGTAGTCTTTGTTTTTCAAAGCATGAGGAACTTTTGTGGCATTGCAGCTATTTGCTTTAATTGCACTGTTGAGCAATTGAAGCAAATCTTGCTAATTTGAATACAATCCATTTACGCAATTTTTTTTTTCAATTCAACAGGTTTCTGATTGAATAGAAAGTTAATTGAGAACTTTCATTGCATAATGATGTTTTAGAATTATTTCAATTAAATAGCATTATTTCAATAACATTAATAAGGGTGGTAGTATGTTGCATAAATTTGGTGGCAAGTAAATTTGGTAGTCAAATTGTGTAATTTTACATGTAATATATTATATAATAATAAATTTTAAAAAAGATGAACATAAATAAAATTTATGTTTATTTTTCTATAATATAATTAATAAATACCTTAATAAAAAATTTTGTTAACTTATTTTAAAGTACGACATTTCCACAAATTTTTTTTTTTAATATTATAAGTATAACATTATGTGAAGATTTTTTTAACATTAATGTGTTCTAATTAGCGTTCATAATTAGGGACAATTTAATAGGATATTTTAATATCAGTAAAAATGTAAACAAATAGTTTTAAATAAGAATTAATAGAAAAGAGGTTTTCAATTTGATAACAGTTTCATTATGGCGCAGAAAAATTGAAACCAGAGAACATATGACACTTAAAAAAAAGTTTTCTTTAACTTTCGAATGTCTTTGCTGTACCAATGACTTTTTTTTTTTTTAATCTAAAAAGAAGACAATTGCTCCTAAGTAATAACCCTAATAATCATTTTGTATAACCCTAATAATCATTTTGTATCTTTTTCATTAAAAGGTGTTGTTAAAGCGATACAAAATTTTTTTGTAAAAACTAGATTGAGATTATTTTTGTTGCTTATTAAACGAAGTAGTAAGTTATTTTTTGGTAATCACAGAATATTGGTGAAGTACATGTATTTCGAATCTTTGGTTGGTCTTTAAATATGTTTGAACTAAAAGAGTTTTTCATTTATAGTAGTTTAACTTCAATAAGTTCCTGAGTTCAACTGTATTGGTAAAAAAACTTGTCTAAGTTTTTAAATATATAAAATAGTCTGCTTAAAAACATTTTTTATCATTGTTAGTGTTTTTTTTTTAATTATTATTTATTTTAACCAAAATGTTGTTTAACATGAGTTATTAAGTTTTATTGATCAAAGATTGAAAATAATTTAGGCTAGGTATACTTTTAGGTTTTAAAATATGTTTTATATTTAAAAAAATATATTTTTATAAAGTGTTACAACTTAATTACTTAAATACTGTAATTATAAATCACTTAACATTTAACACTTAACCGATTGGGAATTCTGTGGTATTCGTCATTGTGTGGTATGGTGCTATCAAGCTGGTTAATACCCTGAAGATATCCAGTAGATTTTCTTTCTTCATAAATAAATGGGATGCCATTTTCAGATTAAATTCAGTTTTTCAATTCAATTTAAAAATGGTGCAAACAAGATATTGATATCAACAAGATGTTATTGATATCAACATCATTTTTCATGCTAAATTTTATGTAGGTCAGAATTTGGAAGAGCTGCATCTATCTTTGACAAACATTAACTTCTGACTTTATGTCAGAAAAACTTGTCATAGTTATAAGTTGTATTTCAGTGTGAGATTGTTTCAGCAACTAATAATAG